AAAATAACCAGATTTTAATTTGTTGCAGTATAGTTCACATTAGAAACCTAATTTCAGAACTAGAAATGTCAAGAGATCAATAGTGACCAGTTTTTTGCGTATCTATCTGATTCTCAAGTAATAAAGTGGTTTCCTGGATTATTATCAGGAACACTTAATTTTATTCTTAAAGAAAATAGTTATCATTTTTATTTATATGATCAGCAGGTAACCATTTCAGGCTTAATGTTTTTGCCAAGCACGAAGAGCATAACTTGACACAGTCATTCAGCGTGAATTCCTGGTATCTGCTATGTGCAGGGAGCTGAGTAGGGATGCTGGAGGGAAGGAAGCAGGCCTCATCTTGCAGAGTTTATCATCTGAGGAAGAAGAAGTGTGCTTCATATATACCATTAATATCTCTATATTTACCATTTGGTATGTGGGCTGATAAGTCATTCCTTAATAATATATTATCGCCTGGACTTGATGACTCAGCCTGTAATCCCACGTTTTGGGAGGCTGAGGTGAGTGAATTGCCTGAACCCACGGGTTCGAGACTCGCCTGGGCAACTTGGCGAGATCTCATCTCTACAATAAATCAAAAAGTTAACCGGATGTGGTAGCGCGCGCCTGTAGTTCCAGCTACTTGGAAGGCTGAGGCGGAAGGATCACCTGAGCCCAGCAGGTCGAGGATGCGGTGACCATGAGTATGCCACTGCACTCCAGTCTGGGTGACAGAGTGAGACTCCAACTCAAAAATAAATAAATAAATAAATAAAATTAAAAATATATATATATAATCAGCCTGTTACTGTATTGCAGATTTTCTTTAGCATTGCATTGTAACCTTTTCATCTGAGTAGTGCTGTGAGTCTATTGTTGCTAGTAGCATCTGATAATCATTAGGTTGAGTAATAGGCAATTATTTTTTGTAGTTCAACGTGACTGAATAGCAGCAATTTTTGATGAGTCAACTTAATAACATTGCTTCATTTTGAAGAAGTATCAGATGTTTGGTAATTTTCTCATTATACCTGACTTGGTTTAAAATAGAATAGTGTACATAGATAAACGTTTCCTAAATCTGGGCAAATGCAAAGCAGGTGTTGAAACTTGAAATGCAGTGCAAAACATTTCACTTTCTCATACTAATTCTGGCAAGTAAGTGTAGTATTATTGCCAATAGTTTATATATAAACAAGCAGCAGTTTGGGAATTATGTACAAAGCAGAGAATTGACTTCTTTTCTGGATCTCTTTTACATAGTTTTTAATCTCTGTATGTCAGAATTTTCCTGAGTTGAAATACCCCTTTTAGAGTCACGAATGAATATGTCAACTTTTTATTGGTATAAATAGAAGTGATTTGCCATTGTGTTCTAGTCCCTGTGCTCATTTGACAACCATTCTTGCAAGTGCTGCCATATTCTACTTTGTATCATACATTTCAAGAAAGAGTTTTAAGGTATCCCAGGGATTCTTTTGGATTTATTTTCTACTTGAAGATGACAGACATTTTTACAATTGAACATAAGTACATTGAAGCAGTGTGTTCTATGACAGAATATTGAAACTACAGAAGTCTGAACTATCTTTCTACTTGTATACTAGAAAGTGAAATCTCATTTAGTCACAGAGTAGAGCCAGATCTTATTCGTTCATTTTGTCTATTTGAGAGGTTGCCAGAATCCAAGTTGTTGTGAAGAAGCATGTAATTACTCATTTTTAAGCACATAATTGAGTTTCAGCTGTGGATCCCACTTTTTTCTTAAGGTAGCGAGATATAATTCAGGCTCTCTTCTCACCCACAAGATCTTAGCCCTGTGTCTAAAAATAAGTACAAGTTAATATGAGACCCATAGGATGTAGTGGTCATTTCTTCCTGCTTTCTTTTATCTAGAAGAGCATCTCAGAGAAGGAGGTGTTTGAACTGATCACATAACTAGTAAAAAGTACTCAAGCAGTCCTAGATTGGAATCCCAGCTCTTTCTACCCCCACATTGTTACCTAACCTTTCTGAGTCTCCATTTGCTCACTAATATGTGAAAAATAGTATGTACCTTGCAGGGGTCATTGTGAAGATGTAGAGTTTATTTCCATGGAAGGGTCTACATATGTCTTTTCTGGCATTACTTTTTGGGAAGTGTGTGTTTCAATCAATGCCTAATGGCACTATACCCCCAGAATTATACTGTTCCTTCTGTAACTATGAATGCAGATCAGAAAGCTCTTTCTCTAGCTATACTCTTGATTTTCAGGAGAATATTTGTTCTGATTCTTCAGTGTATTCCATATACCAAGCACAGAATAGTATTTTCTTAGTGGATTTTTTTCTGGTCCATAGTGGAGTGGTCTTCTTAGGAGTGTGGTTACTTCTGTAATCAAATCTTAGAGACTGGTTTATATTCAAGAAAATTCCAGGGTACTGTATTTTGAATTTATAATAAGAAAAACATCTTGTGGGTGGCTATAGGCAAAACTCAAATCTCTATGTCCTGTATACTCCTGTTGGACAGTCAGACCCACATAAGTGATCATAGTCAGAGGATGTTTTGGAAAGCCTGAAGTCAGAACACATATTAAATACTATCAGTCTTAGCCCTGTGATGAGTAGCCTTTTCAGTTCCTCAGCTTGGATTGACATTTTCAAAAACATGATTCTCAGACTTTCCTTTATAGAGCACTGACCAACTCATTATCTGTGTGATGCATTTTATAGTTAAGCCTTGCTAACCTTGAACTCAGTTTATATCTCTTTAGATTCTGTAATCTAAAGCTGTAATTAGTACTTTTCCAAACTGCTGTCATTCTCTTATTCCACTCATCATATTCACCTGTCAACTCCTAGCCTTAGTTAAAACCAGCTATTGGCCAGCCTACCTGGCTTTGGCCCTTTCTTCTGTCCTGTCTTCATTTTGTTTGCAGGTACCTTCCAGTCCCCTGAATGTAAATACCTCAGCTGATGACTCATTCTGAAATTTCTTTCACCAGTGGTGCCCTCCCCTTAGCTCTAGACTTGTCTCTGAATATCTTTTTGGTGGTTTAAGTTGGAAGACTTGAGGACCACAAACATGTCCAGGACTAGCTTGACTGTCTTCTTTGCTAAGCCTACCTCTTATATTTGCCCATCTTGTTCCATCCAAAACTCTAGTCATCCTAGATTCCTTAATTTCCTACTGTACCACATAGATTCCTTTACCAGCATCTTGGGGGGCACACCGCTGGTGTTTCTTACTTGGCACAGAGACCTGCCTGGTCTTACTGCTTTTACTCTTACACACTCCCCCTCAGTCCTCTGTAAGCCAAAGCACAGTGACAGTGATGTGTTTTGTCGTTGTTTGTTTGTTTTTTGAGACATACTCTGTCACCTTGGCTGGAGTACGGTGGCATGATTATAGCTCACTGCAGCCTTGAACTCCTGGAATCAAGCAATCCTCTTGCCTCAACCTCCCCAGTGGCCTCAAGCAATCCTCCTGCCTTGGTCTCCTAAAGTTGCGGTTGCAGTTACAGGCATGCCACTGCACCTGGCTGAGCTTTTTAAAAATAAAATCACATACCTTAGGCAATCCTCCAATGTCCTGCTCTTGGCTCATTGAACTCGTTTTGTCTTCCAGGAATCTCCTACTTAGTCTCTCCTTCTCCCCTCATACTGTTCTCAACACAGCAGCCAGGTGTTAAAATCTAAGTTGAGTAATGTCACTTTAGTGTTCACAGCCACCCAAGGACTTAATATCTCATTTCATCAGGGTCAGCACCAACTGTGACTGTGGCCTGCATTCTCTGGCCCCCCCCTTCCTTAGACTTTATTGTATAGCACTTCCCCACTGGCCCCTCAGGCTCCTTCACACACTGAGACCTGGGGCCTTGCTACCTGGAAAATACTTCCCTCCACTATGCAGATTTTCATGTGTATAAATAGAGGAACAGCAACCAAGGACCAGAAGACCAACTACTATTTCTCTAAATGGAAAAAAAAAGCATCGTTGCTTTATCTCCTTCATGAGTGTTTTCCTGTATGCTCACCAGCACTCATACCTGTGCTGTCTAAGGCATCTGACTGGGTGCAATAGCTCACACCTGTAATCCCAGCACTTTGGGAGGTGGAGGCGAGAGGATTGCCTGAGTCCAGGGGTTTGAGACCGGCCTGGCCAACTTGGCGAGACCTCATCTCTACAATAAATCAAAAAAATTAGCTAGTCATGGTGGCACACATCTCTAGTTCCAGCTACTTGGGAGGCTGAGGCGGAAGGATCACCTGAGCCCAGCAGGTCGAGGGTGCGGTGACTGTGAGCATGCCACTGCACTCCAGCCTGGCTGACAGAGTGAGACTCTGACCAAAAAAAAAAAAGAAAAGAAAGGTATCCGTGGTATACATTCCATCGGTTCTGTCATCTTTTTTATGGAGCATTGTATGGATTTTAGTGTTGGCAAATTAGTTCTGTCAGTTTTTAAGACTACATGGAATATTGGTTGGGTAGATAGAACATATTTATGTAACTTGTCCCTACATTACTATAAACAGTTCTGCAGTAAATCTTCCTGTTGCTGAATCTTTGCATGTATTGTAAATCATTTTTAAAGAATAACGTCCTAGAATTTTATTTTCTGGCTCAAGGGTTGTAGTTTTTTACAGTTTTTTATTTGTGTTGCCTCTCAAAAAAGTATATCAATTTTTCCCTCCTACAATGGAATGTGTGAATACTTTTATATCTTTGTCCTGTTTATTTCCTGGTCATGTCCACATGTGGTACAAATTTCTGTCTAAGAAATAAAGCTGTATACATGAACTGTAAAGTTAAAATGGCTATGATGACAAATATGCGCGTTTTGCCACAGTTATATAAAAGGAAAGCACTGATATATAAATTTATAGTTATTTGACAAGTATGCTAGTTTATAGTAATGTGAATGTAGGTGATATTAAGTGGTGTGTAGAAAAGAAATCTTACTGTTATTGCTAGAGTCTTCACTCATTGCTGACTCTAAAAAAGATTTTTTTTTGGTAATTTTGTTACGCAGGCCAAAACACTAAGAAAATTGATCCAACAAACATTTAGACAGTTTGCCAACCTTAATAGAGAAGAAAGTATTCTGAAATTCTTTGAGATCCTCTCTCCAGTGTACAGATTTGATAAGGAATGCTTCAAGTGTGCTCTTGGTGTAAGTATGCGAGATGGGAAATAGTGGACTACTTTGATTTATTTTGCTTTTTCCTACCCATGACTGTATATGTAAATTTCTGATAGAAAGCTAATTTGTCCCATTTTTTTAATAACATGAGAATATTTTGTCATTTTATAGTAGGAAAAATACAAAAAGAAAATGTATTAATTTGAGAATAAAATCACCTTTTTGTTAATAGCCTACCTATGTTCCTTATTAGGTATTTTTAAATCCCAGCCCTGTAATTTGTTGACTAATTTGCCTCTAAGGGTTAGTTTACCTGTTCAGGTAATTGTCCCAAAGAAACCACTGACTTTGAGTACACTGGAATAAATACAGTATATCTCTGTCTAGGCACAACAGATCCTGGGTCAATGAAATTATAAATATTTTATCTTATTCGGTTAGATAGATTAATAGCAAACCTAATCAGCCCCCTGTTGTTGCTCTAATATATCCATGACTCTTTATCTAAAATATTTCTTTCTTTCTTCCGGTTTCGCTGTCCTTATTTGCTTCACATTCAAAAGTCGAGCTGGATTATTTCAGTGGAACTGGCAATCGGCCCAGAAGAAGGAATCAGTTACCTAACAGACAAGGGCTGCAATGTAAGTTGTGTCTTGGGAACTTGACTTTAGACAAAGAAGAATCAAATTAAGGAAATGGGGCATTCTTTTGGAAAAAAGACATCATTCTGCAATTAAATCTTTCAGTTGTGTGGCATTTGTGTTTGGGGGTTAGGGGGTAGAGGAGGGAAGTAAGAGAAAGTCTATGCCCTGTTGAAATTCTTCAGAATTCTTTAGTTTTAGAAGAAAAAGGATCACACAAGTCTTACTATATGTGAGTGAGACCTGGGTGGGGTTGTTACAGTTTATCTGGAAAAGGTTTAAATACTAATTTTTAAAATTAAGTTCTGTATATGATTTGGGTATATTTGTACTGGCATATCCTTTGATTGAGCCACTTCAGGATATTTCCAGAAAAAAAAAATTTCATATGTTTACAAGTCTTACCAAATCCCTGCTAGCCTTACCCATCTTACTGAGAAAAAAATTGTCCATCAGCTGGAAACCTACAGTTTGTCCCCAGCCACTACATCTGACCTCTCCCTTCTTTTGTTTTCTTCTCAGCAAAAGTGCTAACCTTTTCCTATGTATTCCTGTTTCATTTTTGCAACAAGTGTTATTAAGTACCTACCTGGTGCTAGGCACTATCTAAAGGTTTGAGATACAACAAGGAACAAAACAGACAGAAGTCCTTGACTTTATGTATCTTATAATCGAGTGTACAAAATAAAGATGGAATACATTTGTATCATATAATGATAAGTACTAAGATGAAAAGTAGAACTGTGTATGGGTAGCTGTACTGAAAAGGGCATGCTCCCCTTTAGACAGGTGATCAGAGAAGGTGTTTCTGAATGAAGGGCTTCTTCCCTGGATGCACAGCAGCAAGTGTTCTCTTTCACGCATAGTTTTGTGGTTTGAACCTTTTGCTTAATTTATACATACATTTATCCATATACATAATTTTACATAAATGTATAACAGTGACCAAACCATATTATATCATATCTACTTTTTTTTTTACTCCAAAGGCACTCTTTGGTTTCCATTCCCATTCACTTTGCTTGGTTCCTACCGCCACCATTCCTTTCTCTTTAGCCTTCCCTGTTCTCTATACAATAGTCAGTGACTCAGTAATTATTCTTCTCTGTTTTTCTCTATACACTTGTTTTGTTATTCAGAAATGAAGTGGTCATCAGGCACAGTTCTATGTCTTGGTTATTTCACTTTGTGAACCTGGTAGAAACCTTTCAAGTCTACCCCTTCTCTCTCTAGGAGCTCAGTGGGACCATGTGGAGGGCATTTACATTGCTTTCAGATTTCTGCCTCAAAACAATGGCATAACAATACTCGTTTATATTTATGTACTACTGCTTTTTCTCCTTATGGATGACATTTCCAAGGAGGAGTGGAGCTGTCATTTTAAAAAAGCTGCCAAGTTGCTTTTCAGAAAGGCTAAGAAACTTCATGTTATTACCAGCAGAGTACAAGAGTAGTATGTTCCTACTCAATTGATAGCAGCCGTTTTTATAGCTCCTTTAATGTTTTTATCTTAATATTGATTCTTGTTACTCTTTTGCTCACTAGAATCTAGTAAATTTAAACACATGTTAATGTCCTGGCTGTTTTTCTTCCTACCTCTGTAACTAAACTGCTTATATCATATACTTTGCTTGTTTTATCAACACAGCTGTTCTTTTCTTTTCAGTTTGTAAATCTCTTCACACATCAAGGAAGTCAGTGCATATTCCTTCATCTTTGTTACAGTTTCTTTCCACATCTTTTGTTGGCTCTTGACTTTAAACAGACCAGTCTCACTAGTCTCATACTCCAAGACTGACCACTGTTATGACTTTGTTGTTGTTGATTAACTTTTCAATAAAGTCTGCTGGATCAATTGCTATTCACAGAGGAAAACAGAATGAATTTTGACTCCTATCACACACCATGACAAAAATCAATTCCAGGTGGTGTTAGATCTACACATGAAAGGTGAAAAGGATAAAAGTTCTAAAACGTAGGAGAATATCTTTATAACTTGCCGGTAGGCCAAGATTAAACTGGACATAAAAAGTGCTCTGACTCTAAAAGAAAATTTTGATAAATTGGATTACATTGAAATGAACTTTTTTTCATCTTAAGATAGTAGAAAGGCAACCTGTGTATTTGCAATATTTGACAATAGACTCTTAATCCAGGGTAAAGAATGACTACAAATCTTCAAGAAAAGGACACACAGCTCCATAGACATTATCCAAGTAGTCAGTAAATAAATGAGAGATGTTCAGCCTTAAAGTCATCAGACAAATACAGTATGATACTGGTGTACATCTACTGGAATGGTTAAAAAGATGGAATGCAGTGGCATGCTCACAGCCACCGCAGCCTCGACTTGCTGGACTCAGGCGATCCTTTTGCCTCAGCCTTCCAAGTAGCTGGAATTACAGGTGCACCCTACCATCCCCAGTAATTTTCTGATTTATTGTAGAGATGAGGTCTTGCCATGTTGCCCAGGCTGGTCTTAAACCCCTGGGCTCAGGCAGTCCTTTCACCTCCGCCTCCCAAAGTGTTGGAATTACAGGCATTAGCCACCACACCCTGTAGGAGTTTCTTTCTTAAAAGACATATAGTACCAAGTGTTGGCAAGAAAGTAAAATGACTGGAACTTTCATACTCAACTCATGGGCAACCTCTTCAGAAAACTATGACATTATATACCTTTATTACTTATGAATTTTTTAATCAGCCCTTAGATTAGATTTTAGTCTCTTATATTTTCTTGCAAGGTTTTTTTTTTGTCTGTTTATATTTATGTCTTTAATCCATTAGAATTTCACATGTGGTACAAGATGGGAATCTACCCACTTCTTCGGTAGAGAAGAGTAAGGGTGGGATTTTTTTTTTTTTTTTTTTTTTGAGTTGGAGTCTCACTCTGTTGCCCAGACTGGAGTGCAGTGGCTGCTCCCAGCCACCGTAGCCTCAACCTGCTGGGCTCCGGTGATCCTTCCGCCTCAGCCTTCCGAGTAGCCGGAATTACAGGCGCACGCTACCATGCCCGGCTAATTTTTATTTTATTTTATTTTATTGTAGCGATGAGGTCTCACCTGCCCAGGCAGGTCTCGAACCCTCAGGCTCAGGCAATCTACTCACCTCAACCTCCCAAAGGTGCGGGATTACAGACTGAGCCACCGAGCCCGGCTTGGGTGGGATTTGATGTAGTCAGGAGGGTAGGCTCTGGAGTACATGGCCACAATTGCCACCACCATCTTGAGTCATTCACATGGTAGCTTTATGACTTTGGTCCATTACTTCACAGTCTGTGCCCCATTTCTTTATCAATGAAATGGCAATAATAAGTGCAACAACCAAATAGAGTAGGTAAAATAATTAAATGCTTTAGTAAATTTGAAGTCCTTAGGTCATAGCCTAGTGTAGAGTAAGCACTTAGACAGTTGTAGCTATTATATAGTTATTGTGTTGCTATTGTCCATATTCCAGGTGAGTAGCCAATTGTGCCAGCACAATTTATTAAATAATCTTACCTTTTGCCTCTGGATTGAACCACCACTTTTATCATCTACTTTTAGTTCCTCTGTTGTGTTCCACTGATTCAGTTGTCCCTTTCTGTATCAATACCACACTCATTTGATTGCTATAGTTTGGTACTGTGTCCTAGTATCTTCTTTTTGTGTACTTTGTATATCATTCTTCTTTTGTTTTCTTTAGTGGTTGTCTTGATTATTTAGTCTTTCAAAACCAAATTTATAAAATTAACAGGAAATTCTGTTGGGGTTTCAGCTTTTATGTTAATTTCTGAAATTTTTGAAAGTGAACTTTTTTTATATTATCTTTCAGAACTTCTTTTACATCTTTCAGTACAATTTCAGTCTTTTTCATATGGGACTTTCATGTTAAACTAACTCCTATGTATTTCACAGTTTTTGTTTTTGTTTTTTTTGTGTGTGTGTGCTTTTTTTGAGTTGGAGTCTCACTCTGTCACCCAGACTGGAGTGCAGTGGCACACTTCCGGCCACCACAGCCTCGACCTGCTGGGTTCTGGCCATCCTTCTGCGTCAGCCTTCCAAATAGCTGGAACTACAGACATGCACTAACACACATATTTCAGTTTTTAGCCTTATTGTGAATGGTGATTGTTGGTTTTTTCTTGCCACTTCCAACTTAAAATTCATATTGTGAGCATAGAAGAATATACTTGATAATTGTATGATATATTCAGTGACCGTATTACTCATTTAATGGATCTTTTATGTTAGAATCTTGGATTTTCTGGGCATATAATAATATAATCAACAAAAACATTTTTAACATTTTTCCCTTAAAGTATACAACTTATTTTTTCTTGTATTCACAAGAACCTCAAAGATCATGTTTAATAACAAGGTGGTGGGCAATATTCTTATTTTGTTTTAGAATTTAGTGTATCAGTTAAAAGCATATTGTTTTTTAGAATAACTTTTGAGTTTTAATAATGTATCTGTAATGTTTTGAAATTATGTCCTCTGATCTTTTGCCTAGAATTTTTATTACAAGTAGCTCCTAAATTTAATCAGAGGTATTTTTAGCCTCCATCGATATGATCTTGTTTTTTTCTCCTTTACCTTATTGTTACAATAGATTATATTGAGGCAAGAGGATCGCTTTAAAATTGCAGAATTCTGAATATGTTTGGAGCTGAGGTTCCTAGGTCTTGTGGAAAGGTTGTATAATGGGGGTAAGGGAAAGAGAGGAATCAGTGATAATGCCTTCATTTTTCGGCTCAGGAATCTGGTTGAATATGATGCTTTTTACTGAAGTGGGGAAGACTGGAGGAGGAACATGTTTTGAAAGAGTGCCCTTTTGACTGTATTAAGTGTGCAATATCTCCCAGATGTCTATGTGGTGATATGATACCGGGACTCAGATGCATGGGTTCTGGCTCCAGGGAGATGTCATGGCTTAAGATGGTATTTAATGCCATGGGACTAGAGGATATCTGCCCAACTATGGCACAACTAGGGAGAAGATTAGGGCCTACCCAGCATAGAACCCTATGTCTCTTTCACATTTATAGATTGAGTAGGGAAGAAACCAATAAAAGGAAGTGTGAAAGAGTTACCAGTGAGGTCAGAAGAAACCCCAAAGGGGGCAGGAGGGGATATTCTAGAAGCCAGGAAAGGAGAGTACAGAGGTGCTGTGAGCATGCTGTGGAGAAGCATAGGACTGAGAGAATGGAGGGCTGCCTGTGGCCTCCTGGGGGAAGGAATGAGGCCCAGAGAACACACATATTTACACAAAGCAAGAAGATGCTGTGCTGGGAAAGGTGACTGAATATGAGTCTCTTTCTAAATGACAGTTCTGGCTCAGTCCCAGTGGCGGCGTCTATTTTTCATGGGACAGGGAGGGGCTAATACCTTTAATATTATAAGAGAGCAGCTTTTCATATTATAAGAGAGCAGGAATCATCACATGCAAAGTGATCACGGTCATGAGATGCTAGAAGGATAGAAGACGTGTATGTTTTTTCTTTTTAAAAAGGAAAAATAATGTATTCTACTTGGGGAAATGACCATAGTCTCTCTTGGCATGTCGTAAGTGGTTAGTCTATAGGGGACAGGCCATTTACATGCCTCTCTGTCTCCCTAGCTTCATTCTGCTGTAGAACTTTAGTAAGTTTTAGAAACTTACTCTAACTCAGGATGCATAAGGCATAATACTGGATCCTTCTCTCTGTGGGAATTGGAGCAGAATGACTCTGCCTAAGAATTCCATAAGTTTCCTCCCAGGCTAGTGAGTGAGTCAAGCCAGGGGTTGCTTCTACTTCCTTCCTTCCTCTGTCTCCTGTTTTCTTCCTCTGTGGTTACTGTACTTTCACTCACCTAATTCATCTTCATGGATCTCCTCAGCACATCACCAAGAACAGACATGAGCCTGACACTGAAGTACAGGAGACAGTCACATGGCTGTTCCACTAGGGCAACATGGAGATTCAGTTTTTCCCCACATTCTCCAGTCTTCAGGACCATAAGTATTTCATAGAACTGTTAATAGAATCGGTGAAATTAGTCTTTTATCTGTAGTCTAAAGATTTTTACCTTTTTTTTTCTCCAAAGCCCACACATCTGGCCGACTTCAATCAAGTGCAGACCATTCAGTATTCAAACAGTGAAGACAAGGACAGAAAAGGAATGCTACAACTAAAAATAGCAGGTGCACCTGAGGTGAGGAATCCTTACATTCATCATTAAGGGAAAACTGAAACAGAGCAGTATTTTAGAAATTTTGTTTTAGATTAAGGATGAAGTTTCCATGGATTGTCAGAATCACAAATTTATCATGTACAGTAAAGGTTACATTACAAAAAATAAGTGTTTGTAAGCATAAGACATGAGATAGATTTTTAAAATCTATCAAGAGCATTGAAGATAATTAAAGATTATCCTCAAGTACCAAGGAAATTAATTTCTTATAATTATATATACAGTCATGTTTCAACAGTGTCGATACATTCAGAGAAACGCATAGTTTGGTAATTTCTTCATTGTGTAAACATCAATATACTTAACATAAACCTAGATAGTATAGCCTACTACATACCTAGGCTGTATGCTCTTAACCTATTGCTGTTAAGCTATAAACCTGTTCAGCATGTTACTAAACTGAATACTGTAGACAGTTGTAACACAATGGTAAACATTTCTGTGTCTAAACATGGAACAGGGACAGTAAAAATATGGTACAAAAGATTAAACATTACATACTTATATAGAGCTCTTACCATGAATGGAGCTTGCAGGACTGGAAGTTGGTCTGTGAGTTGGTGAGTAAGTGGTGGTGAATGAATGTGAAGGCCTAGCACATTACTGTATGCTAGTGTAGATTATAAACGCTGCATACTTTGGCTGCACTAAATTTATATTTTTACCTTTTCTTTTTCCAATGTTAAATTAACCTTAGCTTACTGTAGCCTTTTTACTTTAGAAACTTATACATATTTAAAGCTTTTTGACTCTTTTGTAATACACTTAACATAAAACATAAATATATTATACAACTGTGCAAAAATATTTTCTTTCTTTATATCTTTAGCCTATAATATTTTTTTATTTAAAAAGTATTTGTTTTTTACTTTTTAAACATTTTTGCTAAAAACTAAGACACAAACACACACATTCGCCTAGGCCTACACAGGGTCAGGATCATCTATATCACTGTCTCCTATCTCCATATCTTGTCCCATTGGAAGGTTTTCAGGGACAGTAATATACGTGGAGCTATCATCTCCTGTAATAACAGTGTTTTCTTCTGAAATACCTCTTGAAGACCCTTCCTGAGGCTGTTTTACAGCTAACACTTTTTTTTATAACATGTAGGAATATACTCTAAAATAATCATTAAAAATGTACTATAGCCAGGTGCTGTGGCTTAAGCCTCTAATCCCAGCAATTTGGGAGGCAGAAGCAAGAGGATTATCTGAGCTCAGGGGTTCGAGACCAGCCTGAGCAGCATGGCAAGATCTTATCTCTACAGTAAAAATTAAAAAATTAGCCAGGTGTGGTGGCACATGCCTGTGGTTCCAACTACTTGAAAGGCTGAGGCAGAAGAATCTTTTGATCCCAGCAGGTCGAGGCAGCGGTGGCCATGAGCATGCCACTGCACTCCAGCCTGTGACAGAGTGAGACTCTGACTCGGGGGGAAAAAAAAAAAGTGTACTCACTAGTAAATACATAAACCATAACATAGTTGCTTACTAGCATTATTCAGTATTATGTACTACACATAATTGTGTGCTATATGCTTATATGACTGTTTTACTTATTAGTAAAACAATTTTACTAATATTGTTTAATGTGAGGAAAATTATGATGGATAGTTAATAAAAATTGACTCCACATCAGTTTAGTTTCTAAAACAAGTCATACTTTAACTTACTGATTATCTAAATTCTTTCCTTAATTAGAGTGTGCCAAAGGGGCCAGGCATTCTGCAGGAAAATGTTTTTTCCCACCTTCTTTTGTTCTATAAGTTGAGCCTCAGTTTCAGAGATTTTTCTGTTTTCATCTTGGTTTGCCTTCTATGACATATTATAGGAATAATGTCCTTAAATATAAATACTTACTTTTTAACTCAAATCTTATGACAAATCTTGTTTCATTCCCACTCTTCTGTGTTTTCAAGTGTATAGAGAGGTCTGATGTCATAGTGCAGCTGTCCCATTGCTTGCTGGAAAGAACAATGATGTCTCTTTCTTGGTCTTTTCCCATTTAGCCACTGACAGTGACGGCACCATCCCTAACCATTGCAGAGAATATGGCGGACCTGATAGATGGGTACTGCCGGCTGGTGAATGGAGCCTCGCAGTCATTTATCATCAGACCCCAGAAAGGTGAGGTTTTGCTTCTGCACGCGCATTCCCAGTTGTATTCTTACTGAATATTAGATGAGTTCACTCCTAGCAGCCTGTTATCCTCTTTTAGGAAGCTATGTAAATATGAAGACCAAATGAATATTCAACCCAGTAAAGTCTAAGTTCTTGTTTTTCTAGGAATAGTGATCCAGTTCACAACTTTCACAGGCCAAGAACTGAGCTTGAATGGAGCCTAAAGAAAAATTGTGTTTACTATACTGTATTTTGAGCTACCTACTTAGAGGATTTTCTAAATTACCATCAGTATTTTAAAATAAACTTAGGCTTAAATAAAATTCTGAGCTTAAAAAAAGATTCCTTTGTAATTCACTATAAATAACCTTTCTGTTTTTTCTTATATATCTCAAAAGCTTAGAGCATTTGAAGAACAAAATAAGTTCTAAGTCATGATGTAAAAAATCAAAGATTAGAATGAATAAAAATCCTACAAGCATGGCCGTATCACCTTAAAAATGATGTGGAGTTTTTGCAAGCATGTAACAAGGGATTTTTCAAGGATTTGGATTTCTGAAATAATCAAATGATAAGCAGGGAAATACTGGGTTTTGGATTTGTATCAACATTTTAAGTTCAAATCATGAATCTTATGTGCTACTATTTGTAAACTTTTCTGTGTCTCAGTTCTGTCATTTATAAAACGTGAGGAACAGTACCTATCTTCTGTGGTGGTGGGGGATAAGGACTGCACATATGTAAAAGACTTGGAACTATGCCTAGCTGATCCCATGTGCATAGATGTTAGTTACATTGTTGCTCCTGTTGCTGCTGTCAATGAAGTGTGGTCTTGTACCTTGACTTTGAGATTCTTCATTTGTGAAAGAATGATACCTACTTTGTAGGACTGTTAGGCAGAGCACAGATAGTAACCATAATGCTACTTGAACTGTGATGGGGGTGGTCTGTGAATATGGGTTTCTAGCACTCAGCTCAGTGACTAGAATGATTTTAGAGTAAAAAATCGTGAAGTGCTGTGTCGTGTGTCCAAGTAAGCAAAAAACAGTTAAACAGTGAAGAAGATGAAGCAGAGCTCAAGTGAAGCAAATGACAAAGTGCTGGCTCGGCCTTTCTAGCAGGGAAGTTCTCTGTGTATGAAGCAGCTTGAGGGATGGATAGTGGTGTGTGTGTGTGTGTGTGTGTGTGTGTGTGTGTGTGTGTTTTTCAATAGAAGATTCATTGGGCCCTTTGTTTCAAATGTGTGCTCTGAAATCAATAGTTGAAGCTCTAGGCCAGAGTTCACTAAGTAAACATATGTGTACATGGACTTCCAGGACATGGCTCATTTAATAAAAATGTTTTTCCCATGACAATCACACCAATAAAGCCTATTCATATATTTTTCTTTTTTTCTTTTTTTTTGAGTTGGAGTCTCACTCTGTCGCCCAGACTGGAGTGCAGTGGCCACTCCCGGCCACTGCAGCATCGACCCATTGGGCTCTGGTAATCCATCCACCTCAGCCTTTCGAGTAGCTGGAATTACAGGCACACGCTACCATGCCAGGCTGATTTTTTGATTTATTGTAGAAAGGAGATCTCACCAAGTTGCCCAGGCGGGTATTGACCTTGCGGGCTTAGGCAATCCACTCACCTCAGCCTCCCAAAGCACGGGATTACAGGCTGAGCCACCGAGGCTGGCCATATATTTTTCTTAAATATGTATTTATTGAAGTTTTCTTTGTATAAAACACAGTATTGGCATTTCTTTCCAAAATATGTTAAGTTACTCTGTTAAAGCCTTTGCAGCTATAAACTTTTGGTTTTTTTCTTTGTACTTTAAACAGGAGTATATATCTTACAATATTATTGTATATACCTTACAAATATTATTTAGGTGTCTTAGGAGAATTTCTTCACATAAAGATAGTATTTTGGGGAAAATGTTAAATGTAACAGATTGCCCATTTTTATGTTTAATTAATTTTCTACCTTTAGTCCTAATTTATCAAAATGTCCTTTGTCAGTGTTAATACACATTTAAAAATAACATTCAGACATCAGGCATTAAATGAGCCATTCCATGTTTAAAACTTCAAAACTTTTCTGTGCTGATTTAACTCTTATGTGGTGTTTTTTGCCCTCTAGGGAGAAGCATTTCAATATCAAAATATGAAATAACATGCATTTTAAATTATTTGTTCACATGAAAAAAGTGTAAATGAAAATTCTCTTTTTAAAAAACTGTATAGGGCATTGATTGTTACCAATTTTATATTGTCTTTATAGAATGAATTATTAAACCTGAAAATTTGCCTGTTTTATTCTGAATCATAGTATATTTATGTATTACATGACTATTTTATCCTAAGGTGAAGATACATTGCCTGGGTGACATAGAATTAAAGTCAAATCTCTTTAATGGGTTGTAGTCAGAAATATATATGGACACAGCGCATGTGTGTTTTTTAATAGATTTTTTAAATTCTCAAAGAAATGTTAAACATGCTTGTGCAACTCCAAAGTACCATTTATCTGGAAGAATGATTTAAATAGCCATTATCTGTCTTCTTCTCTAGATTATTACTGGCTGGCAACGTATATGTGTTTATATATAACAGCTGACAGTAGTAAGTGATTAGTAAGTTCTATGTGTGAGCTCTGGCTGTGCCCAGATGCACTGTTAGTTCTCTGATCTACCATAATTACTTTGGATCTATAAAGTCCTTTTAAAGGTGGTAATTAGCTGGCTGCTGAGGGAGAAGGCTCTCTTGAGGCCAAGAGTTCAGTACAGCCTGGGCAATAGTCAGATTGTCTAAAAAATAAATTTTAATTTAAAAAATAAAATTTTAAAGCGATGTTTACTGAGGTGAGGGTAGAACATAATAAGAGCTCTACTCATTTGATGTCCTAAATTGAGTCCCACCAGAATTGATGCATGACCTTAGCCTGTGTTGTAAGGTATTTTCTTTTTTTTAAAAGTATTTTTTTGATTATTTTTATTTATTATTTTATTTTATTATTTTTATTTATTTTTGTTTTGTTTATTTTATTTGTTTATTTGAGTTGTGATCTCACTTCGTCTCCCAGGCTGGAGTGGCACAATCACAGCTCTCTGCAGCCTGACATCCTGGGCTCAAGTGATCCTTCTGGGACTACAGGTGCATGCCACCATGCCCAGCGAAGTTTTTTTAATTTTTTTGTAGAGATGAAGTCTCGCTGTGTTGCTTAGTCTGGTCTCAAAGTCTTAGGCTCAAGCAGTCCTTCTGCCTTGGCCTCTCATAGTGCTGGGATTGATTACAGGTGTGAGTCACCATGCCCAGCCTCTCTTTTTTCCCCAGAGTCTTGTTCTTTCTCCCAGGCTGTAGTGCAGTAGTGCAGTGATAACTCATTATTACCTCAGATTCCTAGGCTTAAGCAGTCCTTCTGCCTTAGCCTCCCAAAGGGCTAGGATTACAGATGTGAGCCACCATGTGTGTCCAGCTGGGGTATTATCTAACCTATTCCTTGTCTACAAAAAAGTTCCAAATTATTTTGGCGATTTCTGTAAAAATTCTGTAGTAAAATTATTCTCAGAGAAAAGAATTATGCAGTTTAATATAGAGTTGTAATTATATTATTCTTAAGTAGGTTTCAGGTGAGGAGGTAGATGTTTCTAAGCATAACATAAAACCTGGAAGATACAAGAATGAAATGGATAATTTCATCACATAATTAAAGCACTTCTCTTAGTAAAATATAAACATTTTAAAAGCTATGACACGGAAGGGAAACTGTTTATAATACATGTAATAAATTATTAAAATCTCTTATTTTTTCAAGTTTTTTCCAACTCTTCCAGTAAAAGATAATCCAGTATGAAAATGGGTTATAAAAGAGTGGACATAGAAAATGTCCAATAAATATATGGACACAAATGGTGATATATATCATTTTATATTTATTACATCATCAGAAAAAACTGATAACCACTCTTGGCAAAGAAAATGCACTTTCACACTTACATCATTGTTAATTGGTACATTTTCAGAAGACAGTTTAGGAGTATTCTGCCCACTCATCTGCTTTCTAGAGTTCACTCCTACAGAACCATTGACATGAAGATGTTTACTGTTGCATTGTTTATGGTAGCAAAATATTAGAAACAGAATGGGTTTAATAAATGAGAGAGCTTGCATACATGATACAGTATTATGAAGTTGTTAAAAATAGTGAGATTGTTCTATTTTTGTGTTTAGAGCCTACATTTAAGTGGGTGTGTGTATATATATATATATATATATATACACACACACATATACGTATACACATACATACATGTATTCAGTGTGTGTGTTTGTGTTTATAAGCATTAAAAAAATTCTGGAAAGTTAAGTGTCCAACTTTGGCCAATGAATGCTTCTAAGGAAAATGGAACTGTATTTTAAGAGAGGAGGGAGACTTCAACTTTTTCCTTTGATTCATATTATGTACTTTTATGATTTAGACTTGTTACATGAATCTATATTAATTTTATAATAAAAAACCAATAGAGAAAACTTTTATTCAAACATTAAAAATCTTAATTCTAAAAATCAAACAAAATAAAAATGGAGTGTTAAAAATTAACTCCCAGAATATGAGCTTGGTGGTGTATACATATAGTCCCATCTACTCTGCAAGATACCAAGGCAGGAAGATCTACTGAGCCCAGGAGTTTGAGTGCACCATGATTGTTCCCATGGATAGCCCCTACCTTTCAAAAAAAATAAAAAATAACTCTCAGAACTCAGCATTTTAGTTAGTGAGTACTCAGGTTTTTAATGATGCTGCTACTGATGGTGTTTCGTGCCATTTTTCTTATGTTTCTAACATTCTGTTAGTCTCTTTATAAAAATTTTTTCTCCTACGATTTATCAGTTGTTTACCACCTTATTTACAGCTGCCTTTCTACCCACACCCAGCTACTTAGGAGGTCTACATTAGCCAAAAATATAATAACTGGTGTCTTTTTCTTTCAGAGGAAAGAAATTTCAACAGAGACTGGGTACAGTGGTTCATACCTGTAATCTCAGCACTTTGGGAGGCTAAGGCGGGAGGATTGCATGAACCCAGGAGTTTGAGACCAACTTGGGCAACATTGTGAGACCCTGTATCTATTAAAAAAATAAAGAAAATTTTAGAAAAAGAAATTCCAACAGAGCACAAATGGAAATCACACAATATCACTTAAAGGCTATATTATTTGATAGTGTTGGGTGTGAATAAGGTGATGTTAGTGGTGATGTTCATGAGACAGTAAACTAATCATCAGGCCTTCTCAGTTATTCTGAATTTGGTCTTCCTGGTGTGACTTAGTTATTTTGCTTGGAATTTAGATATTCAGAAGGTCAATAAGTGATGAAGTTTGTATTGAATTCCTACATTGTGTTGGGAATATGCAGAGGATTGTATATATATTATGTTAAGCCTCACAACTACCCCTGCAAATTAATTCATATTCTCTGTTTTATAGGTAAATACACGGTTTTTCAGAAAGAGTAACATAGGGTCATAGGCTAATTTATGTCATTATTTACCAAACAGTGGTCTGAGAGTCTTCTGAGTATCAGGTACTTTGCTAGGTATCAGGGACACCTTTGGGCAGATTAAGTCTTACCTTAACCTTGGGCAAGTTAAGTAGTCTGTGCAGAAGTACAACACATGGCAAATCCTCTGTTGATGCAGCAGAAACACAGAGGAAGTCCAACCAAAGCAAGCTGGGCTACAGAGTTTCCTGCAGGAGTTTCCTGCTTGAGTTGCGCTTCCAAAGATTGAGTGTTTCTACCCGGTAGGAGAGCATGCATGGCAGTGGTCCAGGCCAAATGCTCCATGCTGTCAGCATATAATTTTTGAGCTCCTACTCATTTTCAGTCACTGTTCTAGGATAGGGAATATAGCAGCAAATGAAACAAGACAAGGCCCTGCCTGCATGTAAGTTTCATGTAGGTACTGAAAGACATGCAATTAACAGAATATATAAGCAAATACATAAATACTCAAGTACATCATATGTCAAATGGTGATTGACTATATGTGGAAAAGTGAAACAGGGAAGAGGGTAAGGGATACAATTTTATTTTGTTTTTTGATTTGTTTTTTGGTGTTGAGTCTCACTCTGTCACCCAGACTGCAGTGCGGTGGCATGGTCACAGCTCACTGCATCTTCAACCTCCTGGGCTCAAGCAATCCTACCTCAGCCTCTTGAGTAACTGGGACTACAGGCACACACTATCATGTTATTTTTTATTTTTGTAGAGATAAGTTCTCCTATGTTGCCCAGGCTGGTCTCTAACTCCTGGGCTCAAGGTATTCTCCCTCCTCCCAGCCTCCCAAAGTGCTGAGATACAGGCCTGAGTCTCACTGTGCCCTGCCCTGGAATAACTTATATAAAGTATTAAATAATACCTTAATAAGGTTGTCTGGGAAGGTCTCACTGAGAGAGTTGCTTTTGAAGAGAGTGGAAAAAAAGAAACTACAAGGATATCTGTCTTAAAGCAGAGGAGGGAAGGGAAGTTTGCCTGGAACTGCAGGGATCCAGTTCACTAGAATGCCTGGAGGGGTAATCCCAGAGGTGATGGCTGGTCAGGCTAAAGAGAGAAGTAATGTGATGTGGTTTGTGTTCTAGAATAAGTACTCTGGCTGATACGCTAGAATAGACTGGTGGGTAGGCCTTGGGTACAGGTAAAGCAGAGGGACCAGTTGGGAGGCTGTACGATGTAAGTAAGAGATGTTTGGCCCAGATGGTGACTTAAAATTAAGAGGGCTTTGGGTACAGTTTGAAGGAAAAGCCCAGCACTTGCTTCTCTAGACTGGGAAGCAGACAGACCTTGGAGTGACTGTCCTACTTGCACGGTGGCAAGTATTCGTATGCACCCACTGGGACTCAGTTCTGTGCACAAGCAAGTCCTGGAAACCTTTCAACCATCCAGAGGTGAGGGATCAGGGTGGCAACTGGATATGGAAATTCAGGTCAGGGGAGAGGTCAGGCTGGAGATATGTGTTTGAGAGCTGTCAAATGTGGGTAGTATTTGAAGCTATGAGACTGTATGAGATTGCCACAGAAGTAAGTGAGGTTAAGAGGTACAAAATGTGAGCAATGTTTATCAGGCCGGGAGATAAGGAGGAACAAGTAAACAAGTCTAAGAAGAGGACCCTGTGAGGCCAGAGGAAAACCAAGAAAGTACAGTATAAAGCCTTGTAGGCCCAGAGAGGGAAATTCCCAGGAGGACAGAGTGATTAGCTATATTAAATACTAACTGTAAGTCAACTATTGGATTTAGCAAAGTAGACATCATTGGAGATCTTGACAAGGGTAATTTAAATGGTATGGGGTTGGGGGGAAGCGACTGGAGTAAATTCAAGGGCAAATGCAAGGGGAGGAACTGTAGATAGCAAGTGTAACCACACCAGGGGTGTTACCAAGAAACTGTAGAACGGTGCTAGAACAGTGAGTGTTAAATGAATACCTCCCACACTACCCCCACACCATCCCACAAACACAATATAGAGATGGGTGCCAGAGCAATGTTTGTGTGTTCAAAGAAATGAAGCAGTGGCTTATGGGTTAAGTCTGTATGTAATTTTATCCTAGAAACTACTGAGAAAAACTAAAAAACATTAAAAAAAAAAAATAGAGATGGAATCTTGCTATATTGTCAGGGAGGCTTCTCTTGAACTCCTGCCCTCAAGCTATCCTCTCCTCCTGGCCTTCCTGAATGCTGGGATTACAGATATGAGCCACTGCACACAACCTACACTAAAATTTTAAGCAGGGGAATGACTTGATGAATTTGTAAGTTTGGAAGATTATTATGGTATAATTTAGCTCAGAGATGTGGATTAGAAGAAAGGATCAGTTAGGGGGTTACTAGATGAATTCAGATTAAAGAATCTAAACCAGGGAGGGCTCTATGTTTTCAGGCCCACAAAAGGAAGACTTGGCAAAGAAGGTGTCTCTTCCACCATTGAACAAAGTCCTTAGTTTCACTGTGATTAAGCCAACATGAACCAGTTGCTATGTCCTGCTCAGCACAGAGGGGACACACCTGAAGCCCTAGGTAGATGACTACCTGGCACACTTCCCAGCTGGCTGTGTGCAGGGCTCCTTCAGGTGAACTCTTCAGGCCTTCATGTTGCCTTGGCTTCTCTTACACATTCATTCCTTTGGCAGCTACACATGCCTGTGGAGTTGTTTTCCTTGTGTTTCGCTGTGCTTCCTGCACAGGTTTTGGCGTAGTTACTAATGAGCAGTTTTAACAAAATGCAGAATGTTCGGGTTGTTTTGGCAAGGAATGTTAACTTTGAACATAAGAAATTCTTCGTCTTTCAGTCTTCTGGAAAGGAAGTCTTTTAGTAGCTGATCATCTTAGTGCTTTATTATAATTAGGCAGTACCTTTTAAACAATATGTATCTAACAGTCAGCTTATATTTGTTATAAATGCTAAAAGTAAAACCACGAGGAACATGATAGACAATGTAATGGCTTTCTTGAAAGGGTTATTGCTAGAACACTTGAATAGGAATTATTCTGCCTTAATTCTATGCATAATCTTTCAAAAGAAATAAAAGGAACCTCATATTTTTCTTTCCTTTTTTCCCCCAGAAGGAGAACGGGCTTTACCATCAATACCAAAGTAAGTACTACTTTGTGCGTATTTTTATTACCTAGTTTTGATAGATTATTTAGAGAAATGGCTATGTTTTATTATTTGTTTGCCTGAAAAATAAACTTTCTGTATATGATCAGGGGATTGGAAAACAAAATATTCCAGAAATAAATAAAATTATTTAGGTATTTAGATTTAACCAAAAAGTTTCACATTTTTTAAATTTTAAATTCAGTAGGGGGCCTAAAGAATATCATAATTATAGTGCTGAGAGCCAAAAACAATTGATTTTATGTTATTGCTAATCTTTGTAAGAACTGGTATCATTCTGGCTATTTTACAAGTAAGAAAATTAAAGAGAATCCATTTATATTCATTTTCTTAATTTTTATATTGTGAGTTTCATAGTAAATATGTTGTCCTATAAAATTAAAGAAATCAAATAGTAAACCAAAAGAAATTATGTAATTCTATATTCTCAGCCATTGTGCTAGGAACTGGGGACTAAGATATGAAGGTTAAAATCTAGACATTCACCTGTGCAGGTAAATAAACTGTTATAGCTGGGATAAAGAGAAAGAAGCCTGGGCCTAGGTTTTGTTGTGTCCCTCTCTCTCTTTTCCTTGGCCACTTCCTCTGGTTCCCTGTCCTAAGTAGATCCATCATGACTGTGTAGATGGGGAAAGGTGGAAGAGCAGCTTCTAGCTTTGGGCAGCACACTTCACATTATCAACAGTGTCTGAGAGAGGTTTGTTTATTCATGTGCATGTCAGAGCAAGAATTAATGCTTATTATAGTATCTTTAATTGTATGAAGTTGAAGAATTATTTTGAGGATTCATACACACAGCAATCAAAACTGGGCATGGTAGGATGTACCTGTAGTCCCAGCTACTTACAAGGCTGAGGCAGGAAGATCACTTGAGCCCAGGAGTTTGAGGCTATAGTGCACTATAATTGTACCCAGACAACATAGCAAGACTCTTTCTTACACACACACACACACACACACACACACACACACATGGATCATCTACATTGATATATAATATAAGTAAGTGAAGAACATGGTAGGTTAGAAGTGATAGCAGAAACTGGGAACACTAAAAGAGTGGAATTTCCACAAATCTTAGGGCAGCAGGACACCACTGCTGCTATTGATCAGATTTGTGGTGAAATCCAAGCTATAGTGAGAAATTTGGTTGACCATAGTGTACATAAATTGTGTGGTTAGGGGAAGACCCAGTGTTTTGGCAACAGAATAAGGAACCAAATGATGTTAACTTTTTATTACTGAATGTATACTCTATGAGTGCCCAATAAACAGTGTAACTGCCATAGAAAAATTGATGAGTTGTTTCTAGTTTTCAAAAATGATATAGAGGTTGAGCATATCTAATTCAAAATTCAAAATGCTTCAAAATCTAAAACTTATTGAGTGCTAATATGAAGCCACAAGTGTACAATTTCATATCTGACATGTATGATGGTCACAGTCAAAAATTTGTTTCATGCACAAAATTGTTTAAAATATTGTGTAAAATTACCTACAGGCTATGTGTATAAGCTGTATGATGAAACGCAAATGAATTTCGTATTTAGACTTGGGTCCCATCCCTAGATATCTCAGTATCTATATGCAAATATTCCAAAATCTTAAAAAAAAAAATCTGAAATCTGAAACGATTTTGGTTTCTAAGTATTATAGATAAGGGATATTCAACTTGTACTATTTTAAGTTCCAATGTTTTCTAATATAAAGTCTGTACATTAGAGGTTTCTGTGCAGTACTCTCCATATTAAATGCTTATGTATCTGGAAAAGGTTTTATTTTATAAAAAAGATCAAGATAACTTTGAGATCTACAAACTGTAGCGTTCTGTGTTTTATCTGTTGCAGGTTGTCCAATAGTGAAAAGCAAGGCATGCGGACACACGCAGTCTCTGTGTCAGGTAAGGGGCTCTAAGTAGCAAACCTCAAGAAACAATCTGAAAGGGTAGGAAAATCATAGATGTCTTTCATTTTTAGTATAATTGTTTCATTCTAGAATAGCTTATCAAAAATAAAGCCTTCTGGTACCCAGATTTGCATAATTTTGCCATCATAAAATAGTTTTAAATATGGCTCATATATTTTTTTTTTTTAGATGAGACATATGTAAAATACCAGATTACTCATCAGGTTATATAGAATTCCAAGTTATTTTTCTGTTTTAATGTCATGTTAATCATATTTAGAATGAACATTTGAACTACTTTTGAAGTTGCCATCATAATTTATCTTTCAGTTCAACAGAATATACTTTGTATATTTATTGTTTTTTGAAGTTCAGAAATTGTGAGACATTATATAATGGTTTTTGTCTTTCGCAAGCATCATAAAATCGTGTTTGAATATTGCTTTCTTAAAAATACAGTTAAGATACTGGCATAGGCATTATCTTAACTATTTGCTGGCATGATGAATGTGGTATACTTTCCTTGGTATGTTTCAAGATAGATATGCCTTTTTCCCCAGTTCAGAATGTGGAGAACAGAGGAAGGGGGGAGGAGAAAGCATATTCCATGGGCCCAAGTTTGCTGCGTTAAAATTCATATATATATATATATATGTACACACATACATCTATATATATATCCATCCATATTCATACACATATAATTTGTTCTTAGATGTATGTGTGTACATATATGCTAGGTTTCTAAAATAATAATTTCCTCATAACTTTTCTTAATAAGAAACCCAATTCCTGTTTAATTAACTTTGAGTCAGTTTTTTCTGAAATTTAGGAAAAATTTAATTTGGTTCCTTTTTCTGAAATTTAGTTTTGTACTTTTGCCTAGTTGAGGCCTGGATTCTTTAGTGTTTCAATGTTAAAGTGTAATTGCTTGTTTTTTGGGGGTTTTTTTGGTGCATGAACAATCCTATACGCTCTTTCTTAATAAATACTTGTGCTTGTATTTATATTTTTGGCAGAGATACTCGATGAATGGTGTGTGATGCTGTCATAGTATTACGGCTTGAGAAATCATTGCTAACTTCCTAACAGAGTGGAAAGAAGGTCGGGGTTCTAGAACTTGTCTTATGATTAGCTTCTGGGTTACTAGCATATTCGCTAATGGTTAATCATCCTAGTAAGCCTAATCCGAGATTTCCTGGAGCCCCAGATTTCCAAAAGCGATAATGGGGCATTAAGCTACACTCACAAGCGTTTGGGCTTGTTCAATCCCTGGTGGATACTGAGACTCAGTAGACTCGCCGGTCCCTCACAGTTTGTGGTCTAGTTGGAGTGAGAAAGGCCACTGTGCATACCACACAAGCTAGGAGGGAACAACCACTGGCCACCAAAGGATATTCTGCAGAATGTTCTGTAGAGTATGTAAAAGATGAGCTGGGCTTTGAGTAATTCACAGGCCATCTGCTTCATCTTTTTGCCTGCCTGTTGGACAGCTTTCACAGTGAGCCCAAGAACAGGTGACTTGCCTTTTGGTGTTTGCCATTCTCTCTCCACAGACGCTCGTGGCTTAAGAGAGAACTGAAATGTCCCCTCATGCTCATGAGCGTTTTCTCTGGCATCTATCTTTTGGGTAGTAAAGTAATGAAATAAAACACGTCCCAACAGAACCTTCAAATCTGTTGTGTTCCTTCTATTTTAATCTCTGTTAATCAATATTCTCCATTAATATTTTGAACCTTGGAGATTTTAGCAGCTGAACATCATCAAACTCTGGATTATACTTCCCCAGCCACCCTCCTCACTGTTTTCATCCTATTTCAGAAACCCATTAAGAAAAAAAAAAGAATATTAGCTGACATTTAATGAGTACTTTAATAGATACTGTGTTCCAGGCTTAGTTTTATGCTCTGTGTTCTTTTTTTTTTTTTTTGAGTTGGAGTCTTACTCCGTCGCCCAGACTGGAGTTCAGTGGCCGCTCCCGGCCACCACAGCCTCTACCTACTGGGCTCTGGCGATCCTTCCTCCTCAGCCTTCCAAGTAGCTGGAATTACAGGCATGCGCTACCACGCCCGGCTGATTTTTGATTTATTGTAGAGATGAGGTCTCGCCAAGTTGCCCAGGCGGGTCTCGAATCTGCAGGCTCAGGCAATCCACTCACCTCAGCCTCCCAAAGGCGCGGGGTTACAGGCTGAGCCACTGAGCCCAGCTGCTCTGTGTTCTTTTACATGGATCTGATAATTTGTTCCTTAAAACAAACCTGTAAGATAGTTTCTCATATTGTACAGCTGAGGAGACTAAGGCCCAGTGAGATTAAGTAATTTACCCAAGATTACACAGCTGGTAAAAGCTATTGTCATTGAAGACTTGCATATTTGACTTTAACCCACATCTTAATTACTTGTGATTCTGCCTTTATTGTTTCTTCCTAGATATTCCTAGGAATACTTTGATTGCTACCACATTAATTTAAATAGGCAAGTCTCTGGTCAGAAGCTTTCAATGATACTTTACTATCCATCAGGTGACATTAAAGCTCCTTCACTCAACCCTCCAAATCCTCCATTATGTGCGGAGCCTTCCTTTCCTTCCTCCTCCTTCTCATCCACATTGTTTTTCAGCCAAATAAAGTGGCGATTTTGCCCACACCAACCTTCTTATTGCTATAGTTCTACTTGAGTTGTTCCATCAGCTTTGTTCTTTTCATCATTACATAGCAGTCTTTTTATTCTTCAGAGTTAATAATACTTTGACATATGATTAGCAATTTGGTGATCTACAGATACAAATCCAGACGAAGAATGATCAATGTCTAGTGGACATTGAATGATGTGGCACTGATTGTTTCAAGTCCTTAGCCATTCCACGCACTGCTTGCTCGCTTAGGTGGAATCAAGTGTGGTATATTTCTTTTTATTTCATTTTATTTGTTTAACAATACCATTGTGATATTCATGGTATAGTATATTTCTGTCTTCCATAAAGTCTTTAAAACCTAACATCTGACCAGTCCAGCCAGCCAAGGGTCTGTGCATTGTGCTTAGCCCAAAAACTGATTTTGACGTTTCTAGTAATATCTTCATTAAGCTGATACCTAGAAAGCTAGTATTATTACTAAATATCAAGATTATTTCTCACCTGCCATGCTGGAAACACTGTACTGTGTGGAGTATAGTGCTGACACACTACTGTAGAGGTTCTGCTGCCCCGGACCCCAGCCAGATTCTGTGCCTACTTCCCCACAGTAAGCCTATTCTGTCTCCAGGCTAGTGGGGTGAGGCTGCAGTCTATCTGTAGGTGAGCCATGGTTGTTGTTCTGTCATAGTCCATCTTGTTCAACCTCTAACAAGCCTTTCGAGATTAATATTATTCTAGTTTTACATTTCCATTTCACATTAGTTCATTCAACAAATATATCTTGGGTGCCAGGCCCTATTCTAGGTGCTGAAATCTTGTAGTAAATAAAACCACATCCCTACCTATATGGAGTTTACATTCTTGTGGAGGAGTCAGAAAACGGACAATGAACTAAAATAAAGCGGGTAAATTGAGAGTGATGGGGGCAGCTATTTAAACTTGTGGACATTGTATGGAAGTAAACCTGCACATGCATTAACTCTTGCAATGGATTGCAAAACCCTTTGTAATTATTATCTTGTTTAATCTCTACAATGTCCTTGCAAGGTATTTTATTATCCCTCCATTTCACAGATATGAAGAAATAAATTCAGAACAGTAAACAAACGTGTTGAGTATCACACAGCTTGAAAATGATGGGCCTAGGGTTAGAAGTCAGGCAGCTGTTACCCTCTAGGCTCTACTCCTTTTCAGTAACAATTCAAGGGACTTTAACCCATATATGGATAAAGACGCACTTGAGAAGGTGAAGAGTCTTTATGAGATTTGTCAGACTCTCCTGTTTTCATTCGCAACCACAGAGTTCTTACTTGAGCCCCCAAGACTGAGTTGACATGTCACCACCACCTCATAGAATCCTTCCCCAACTGAGAAGCACTGGATTCTTCTTCCTTGGAGTTCTATGGAGCATTATACTTTTTTCTCCATTATGCATAGTCCTAAAATGTATGTAATTATTTTAGAAACCATCTTGCCCACTAGATCGTGAGTCCATTGCGTGCAAAGATATATCCTGTTTATCTGTTTATTGTCTGGGACATAAAGGCTTAGTACTTGTTTTTAAATGAGTTGGTGAATGCCTGAGTAGTGTATAGAGATGTGCTGAGACTTAGAGAAATACATTCCAGGTAGCAGGAACAGACAGCAGAAAGGTAGAAATATTTGGAGTAATCAGTGATGCTGAGAGTCACTGGAGTGCTCAAATGATTCTGTGTGAGTTTGTCACTGTGAATGATTCTAGACTCTTTTCTAGGAAGTATTGGGTAAAGGAAAAGAGAAAAGCTAGCAGAAAGAATGAGGGTCAATTTTAGCATAGTTTGCAGCTCTTCGTGGATCTCTCTAGTTAGCAAATAAAACAATATCATTATGTTCCAGATAGGAGATTTCGAAGGCATTACGTTCCAGATAGGAGATTTTGAAGGCATACAGATGCCTTTTTGTTGACTGGGTTTTGTATTTGGGGTTTTTCTTTTTCTTTTACTTTTTAAAAACAATCAGACCTTTGATGAAGCAGTAAAACACTAAGTATGACAAGAAATAAAAGATAACACTTGATGGTAATGCCATTACATTAATACAGATGGCTCTTGTCAAATGTCTGAACTACACATACTAAGACTGGAAATTAGTACAATTTTTCTTTTTGTTTTGTCTCTTCATCTATCAGTAGATAACATTTGCTTTGATTGTCCCTGAGCCCTTTGTGCTAAAGGACAGTTGAACCAATTTGTGATGCTTTCTCAGTCTTTATTGCAGTTATTTTTTTTTTTAAGTTGGAGTCTCACTCTGTTGTCCAGATTGGAGTACAGTGACAATGTCATGGCCATTGCAGCCTTGACCTGCTGGGCTCAGGCGTTCCTT